TTTAAGAGTTTCAAATGCCATGTCGATATCTGTTAGGTTACAAAATGTCGTCAGGCAGGAATCAACTAGTTATACCGATCAAGACACTACAGAATCTTTGGTGCAAAACTTTTGGCATTTGCTGGGACTCGATGGAAATAAAATATGAACACTGTCTCCATCCTAAGCTAATACAAGATGCTGTATTTGCGTTCGTCAACATAACCGATCAGCAAAGGCTACACAGAGCTAGCAGAGCTGCAGAAAGACCGAACCTGCAGACCCCAAGGAAGACCAAGAAGCCACACTTTGCAGACAAGAGGATGCCCTCGAACCAGAAGGGGCAGACAACACCCTGGTGACAGCATCAGGATTCAAAGTGAACAAGAGTCCAGGCCAACAAGCTGATATTTAATACAAAAAATTGTTATGTCTACTTTTTCAGGCCCTGAAGTACAGCAGCCTGAGGGTACTGCAAATGTTCCCTCCTTGCTATGTCCCAAAAGCAAACTTATAAAGGGAAATGGTGGCAGCCAAGTGTTTCCCGAAGCCTACGGTGGGGAAAACCCCAAAGATTTCCAGTTTCCCTCTAGATCGCTCTGCCAGCCTGCCGGGGCAGCAGGGAGAGGGAGGCCTGCGCCGTACAGTGGAATCGACCCCTGCAGTGGAGCAGCCTCAGAGACACGCGCAGCCTACCGGGACCTCCCAGAGCCCCGCGCAGCTTGTTTCTCCAAATGTGCCAAGCGGCGCTAGGGACCTATGAAATGGCATCAAGGCCTTCAGCACCGTCACAATCGAATAAATGCCTCCCGGACTCAGAGGTTATGAATTAGAAATCTGAATAAACGCAAAGTTGAAATTCTCAAACAGGCTGTGGTATATCCATGTCCTAATCTCTGTAACTTTATCTGTGAAGGTTCCTTACGTGTAACCTGTGAATGTCACCTTACATGACAGCAAAGGAGGTCTCTGCGGATGAATTAAGGGTCTTGTGATGAGGAGATCACCCTGGACCATCCGGGTGGGTCCTACATGAATGTGTGTCCTTATAAGAAAGAAGAAGAGGGAGGTCTGGCAACACGGAGGGAAGGGGGCTGCGAAGATTGCGCGCAGAGAAGGTGCGAAGCCCCCCGCCTTGCAGTAAAGCAGCCACGGCCACGGAACGCCGGGAGCCACAGAGCTAGAGGAAGGAGGGACGGATCTTTCCTCAGCGTCCCCAGAGGGAACACAGCCCTGCCAACACCTTGATTTTGGGCTGGTGATACTGATTTTAGACTTCTGGGCTCCAGAACTGTAAGAGAATGAATTTCTATTGCTTTAAGCCACCAAGTCTGTGGCCATTTGTTATCGTTGCCACAGGAAACTAACACACAGGTCAACACAATCTCCCCTCCCTCCCTCCCGCGCTCAGCCAACACTCACAATAAGGACCTGGACCGTGCTAGGGGCTGGGAAGGGTGCAGAGACCAACAAGGTCCCAGCCAGGCGGACGTGGACACAGCTGACTGCACCTCGGACACACTGGCCAGGTGGTACGGCAGAGCCACGCATAGGCATCACCCCCCGAGGCCAAACCAGGAGGCTTCTAGGGGCAGGTGATGTACAGCCCAAAGGATGAAGCTAGATTCTAACAGGTCAAGGCAGGAAGTGGCCCAAGCCAAAGGCACAGAATGAGGAAGGACACTGACCAGTAAGAGTCCAAGGTGTGCTGGGGACCTGTGAGCAGTCAGGGAGGGGGAGGCTGGGAGAGGAGGCCAGAGAGGCAGGTTGGGGCCAGGTCATGGCGATGCCTGGCGGGCAGCTCAGGCCCCCTGCTGCGCTGAAAGGTGGCCCTCTCTGTGCTGTGGAACAGTGCTGGGGCAGTGCCTGCAAAGACAGTGTGCACAGGCCACCCGAGAAACAGATTCGGAAACCATGTTGGAAACAAGAGGCCCAAAGACACGACCCTGGTTTGGATGTCGAGGAACAGAAACCGAGGGCTGTGCCCGCTGAGCTGGGAATCCCAGCCCTGGCGCTGGGCCTGGCAGTGGGTAAGCGCTGGGGATGCCTGAGCAGAGAAGGCGATGCGGCCGGGGCAAGGGGGGAAGAGGAGAGTGATGCTGAGAAGCAAAGAGCAGAGGGAGGGAGAAGGAAGAAGTCACGGGGGCTCCCATGTGGCAGGCTCCCCTGCCAAATTCTTATTTTCCTCCTTCCACACTTGTGCACCCTCCCTCCCCACCCAGGGGACACAGTCCTAGGGGATCCCAAGGCCGCCCCTGTTCAGCAGCTACCAGCAGGCTTGGTCCGTCTGTGCCCTTGCTTGGCCGTGATTCCTGCTGCCACCGTTAATGGGCAAGGAGCCACCATCCGTTCCCGCTGGGGGCTCTGCCAGGCCCACAGCCATTTGTATCTTGAGCCTGGTAATTAGGGCTGGAGGAATACTGGGCCGGAGGGCAGCCTCTGTTTGGATAAACTCAGAAAAGATCAGCTGCTTCTCTGAACTGGGCCTCTTTGGGGCTTTCAGTGGGGAGCTGGGAGGGCCAGTGGGTGGCCTCAGCTTCGCCTGCCAACATGCCCTCGGGACAGGTTCCAGGGCCATCTCCAAGCTGGTAGGTCCAGAGAGCTCATGCAGGCAGCACGGTGCAGAGGAGGAAGTGCCTGTGGGTGGGGGGTGGGGGGCAGGTGGAGGGAGAGCCCAGGGTTCAAGTCCTCCACCTGCAAGCTGCATGGCCTGAGGCAATTCCCTCACTTCTCTGAGTCTCAGCACTTTCAGAAAACGGAATTACACTCCTTTCCTTGCCCACCCATGGGGTTGTTGCATCAAAGGGCTCCAGGGGAGGTCTTGGCAGCCTACAAGGTGCTGCATAAATGTGAGGGCCCCGAGGCAGACAGGGCTGGGGGCCCATCTCTCCAGGCTGCCCTAACTTGCTAAAGGTCTGGAAATAAGGAGCCAAGGGGACGGGAATGATGATGTGCGTCCCGCCACCTGTCTGCCTTGTGCACAGTGTCTCCCCGTGATCTGCACGGGCCGCAGGGAAGGGAGGGTTCTGCGGGTGGGGGCCTGGCAGGCCTGCCCGGCAGTGGCAAGGCCCAGGGCAAGAGTACACGCAGAGGCCGTTTCCCATATGTCTCATATTTAAAAGTCATAAATCAAGCTAACAAACCGTTAAATGAAATATGCTCCGTCCTCCTACCTTGTTAAATACATCTTCGAAACAACCTGGAAGGCCAGGATGGAATTTAGAATTCTGGGCCTCCTTGGCGTTCTGCGCCAGGACGTGGCTGTGTCGGGGGAGCCCACCCAGCTAGGATCTGACCTGCTGCTCTCCTCACCCCGGGCTCCTCGTCACTACACAGGGCCTTGCACACACATGTGTGGACACCCAGCCCTCACATCCAGGCTCTGTCCACACATACACACACACACACACACACACACACACACACACAGACTGCCCCAGGGAGCCAGCCCTCGAGCCCAGGGTGCTCACGCCAGCAACATGGGCTGTCTTTAGAAGGACAGCCCTAGGGAAGAGGCTGAAGAGGCCTGGACCTGTTTGGGTGGGACCCTGGGGTGAGCTAGAAGGAGGGAAGTGGGCACATCGCCCGGCCCTGTGGATTCTCCTGTCTGGGGTGAAGGGGGCCACTGCCTCAGCGGGGCCAGGTGGGGCCCTCTGAGGAGTGGCTCCCAGAACAGGGCCCTCTTGCCTGGGTCTAAGGATGGTTCCAACTGGCTTCTAATCGTGACCCTGACTCTTACTTGCTGGGTGACTCAGGCATGTCCCAGACCCTTTCTGGGCTCGATAGAGTGGGATGAATGATCCCCTGCTTACTTCACAGAGCTGCTGTGAGACCCCAAAGACAAGCTGTGGGGGTGGCAGTGGGGGATTAAAATAACTATTCTCGCTTTTTTAAATGCCCAGAGAGAGTCAAAGGCGTGTGTTAGGAGAGGATCAGGGCCCTTAGAGCCCCCAGGCACTGAAATGAGGGTGTGGCCTCCTGTAAATGACTCCAAACAAGAGACAGCATGGTGACTATAGTTAATGATAAGGGATTGCATATTTCAAAACAGCCAAAAGAGAGGATTTTAACTGTTCTCACCACAAAGAAATGATAAATATTTGAGGTGCTAGATATGCTAATTAGCCTGATTTGATCACTTCCCCCACGTATACCTGTATCGAAACACCACATTGTACCCCATCGATATATTCGATCATTATTGTCAATTAAAAATAAAATTAAATAAAGAAAAACTAAAAGACTAATTTTAAAGAGATAACGCTAACTCAAGTGCAACAGCATCCAAGGGAGGCCTGACATTTCCCCTGATTTTTTTAAACAGCTTTCAAAAAAGGATACTTCGGGTAACCCTGCTCTGCTAATGCCCTTAACACCCAGACAGCACGCATGACGATGATGTGCTGTCTTGTCCCCACGACACCCCACAGTGCAAGGAGATGTGGTGGCCTCCTTTTCTGAATGTCTCGAAAATGACACTTCACTGGCCAGAGGGGATCGGGTTCCGATGGCCACAGGGTGTTGTTTAGAATCAAGTGACAAGCCCACCAGCCAAATCCTGTCTGTCTTGAAGACATCGTCCTCCACCCCAAGGAGTAAGGCCACTGAGAGTACCTCCGGAGCTTCCCACTTGTCCGTGTCACACAAACTGGTGGAAGAGAGAGGGTGGGGGCAGGGAGGGCGGGGAGGTGGGGAGAAGGCCCCCTCCATGTGGGCCGGGTGGCCTCCAGGCAGCCCCTGCACCCCTCTGTGTTCACACTTCCCACATGGCCAACAGGGCTGTCTGAGTGACAGTCAAAGACCCCCCCACGTCCTCCTCAGCGCCAGTGCCGTCGCTGGCTGGTCCCAGCCCCACCGCAGGCCCAGCTGCAGAGAAAGAGGCCGGGAGCGCCGACCTCTGCCTGATTTATTCAGGTCTGCATCTCAGAAGCGTGGAGGTCACCCGGGCTGTTTGGGGGGATGCTCCCCCCACCGAAACCCCTCTGCTGCCTGCTGCGGAGACGCCGACAGTGCAAACTCACCAGGCACCATCCCTGTCAGCGTAGGCGCTGAGTAGCTGCCCTGTCCGGCGGGGGGGACGTGCGGAGGGTACCCGGGGAGGGTCGTGCTCGCCAAGTCACGGCCTGAGGAATCAAAGCAACAAATCACAGGGTGAGCATCTTTGCGGCCAGCCGCTCATGTCCACAGCTCCCCGGACACTTCTGCACATTTGTCACGTCTGGACGCTGAACGCCAGCGTGCCCCCAGCTCCCCCCTGTCGCTCACACGTGCTCTCACAAACACACACACACGCTGATACACACACGCCTGCAGCCACCCTGGCTCCACTCAGCGAGAACTGAGTCAGGGCTCTGGCCTGTCCCTGGGAAACCGGAACCCGGTGCTTGGGGAGGTGGGACAATGCAGGTGCCAGCACACCTGGCTCTGGCCAGCGCACCTTGCCCTCCACTCCCCAAGTGTGGCTTGGACGTCTCCACCCCCACACTGTTGCTTCTACTGAGCCCTCTATGCAAAGCGCCCTCCCTCCAGCTGCACACAGGCTGCCACCAAATCACTGCCTGCAAAGACCAGCTCAAACACCACTCTCCTCTTCCTTGACAGCCCCCACAGTGGGCAGGGGGCATACCCGCCTATGGCTCTATATCCAGCCTGGTACTGAATTCTTCCTCCTTTGGCCTAGAGCTATTCCTTCATTCAGTGAAGATGCAGGAAGCACCTCCCCCAAACCCCGTGCTGGTGCCAGGACATGGAGATGAAGGCCCGGGCCCTCAAGGTGTGGATACTCTGATGGGCAGTGTCCAGCTCTGCGCAGGCTTCCGTGCTTCTGACCGTGAGTCCAGAGTCTCCACCTGTCTCTCAGCTGGGACGTTGTCCCCTTTGCTGATTGGCTCCATTGTGCAAAAGGAAATTCATTCCACTGCAATTTTGATGGGTATCATATGAGGGGGGCTGCCAAATCTGCCTCTTGAAAGACAGCGGGCGTTCTCCCCCGGAGGAGGCTGCCTGGCGCAGGTGCCCACATCCTACCCAGCCGCCAGGGACAGATATGAGGGTCCTCGGAGGGGACTCGCCCAAGGATACTCAGCTGGTTGGAGGCAAGGCTGGGGCTGGAACCCAGCTTTCTTGCCTCCTGGCACTGGATTCTTCCTTTAACAGGGGCTTCTCTTTTGGTCATGTCTGAACCCCAACAGACTCTGTTGCTATTGCACATGCTTTAAAGCCTTGATCCCTAAAGCAAAGGTTCAGAAAATCAGTGCCTCGCCAAAGCACTCAACTCAAGAAGCCAGATTAAAAAAACAATAAAATGAACCTAGGGCAAAGAGAAGGAAGGGATCGGTAAAGAAAAAGCAGAAAATAATGAATTAGAAAACAGAAAAGCAGGTGCAACAATAAATACAACCAAGAATTGCCATTTGAAAAGACCAGTAAAATAGACAAATCCTTGTCAAGATTCAGAAAAAAGGCACAAATACCAAGATAAGGAATATGGTGAAGATAGAACCAGAGATATGGAAGAGATGATATTTAAAAACATAAGAAAATACACTCCACACTAACAAATGTGGAAATCTCAACAAAAGATACAATTTTCTAGGAAAACATGAGTTACCAAAGTTAATTCAAGAAGAGGCAGAGAATACCAACAGCCCAATAACCTTAGAAAAAATAGAAAAAGTTGTTTTTTTAAAATATTAGATACCTCATCCATTTAGCTTCTCAGGTAAGTTTTTGTTAGTTTGTATTTGCTTTTGGCAAATTCTTTTAAACCTTCAAGGGACACATATTTCTGTTATTAAACTGTTCTAGGATATATAAAACTAGGAAAATCTTAATTCACTTCACCAAGCTAGCAAAATCCCAATCTAAAAACTTAACAAAGGTAATACACACACAAAAATTAAAGGCTAGTCTCACAATTTATTAATATAGATGCAAAAAGTCTACTAACACACTGGTTGAGAAAGAATAATATAGTAAATCTTGGAGAAAGAATAATATAGCATGGCCAAATAAGGTTTAGTCCAGGTATGCAAGGAAGGTTCAATATTAAAGCATTGGTCGGGGCATCATATTAACATATCAAAGGAGGAAAACCATATGATTATATCAAAGACATGGAAAAGGCATTGGCTAAAATTCAATATTAACTCCTTATGATATCTCTTAGTAAATAAGAATTGAAGTATACTTCTTTGATCTTATATTGATCTTAAATCTAAAGCCAACGTCATACTTAACTGGTGAACAACTTAGAGAATTTCTATTAAATCAAGAACATGTCAAGAAAACCTATTATCAGTGTTATCACTAAAAATTGTTCTGAAAGTTTCAGCCAGTACAAGACAAGATACAGACATAAGGGGGATAAACATTAGGAGAAGAAAAACTCTAAATCATCATTAGCTGGATATGTCCAGGGCCTGGAAAATCATAAGAAAGTCAGTTCATCTACTAGAACCAGTGGAAGAGCTTGGTGAGACGGGGGATGGATTGTGTCCGCTGTAGCCTTGTGCAGGACTCGGCCATCACGCTGGGGGCTCTGTCTGTTCCCAGCCCTTCCTCCCAGCCCACCAGGTTGGCAGTGTGCACCCTGAGGAGCTGACAAACGGCCACCTATACTCTACACATCACACTGCCTCTGAGTTCCCTGTTACCCAGGGGCTCCTTTGCCTTGTCCATGGCTCCATTTCTATCTGGCAAATGGCCCTAGGAGCAGAGGCTTCATCCTGCGACTGCATTTACTTTCCTTGGACTAGTCATGAAAGCAAAGGGCCCAAGTTATCACTTGCAAGGAAGGAAGAGAAACTGACAGCTTTCTGTGTCATCTCAACCTGCCGAATTGCTATGGCGTGCCAGGCACTGGGCTAGGCTGTTGAGAAGCACTATCTCATTTAATCTTTGCAGCTTACAAAATTCCCAATGTAAACCTTGTGAGACCGTTTGGGGAAGTCTCAGGGAGGCTGCAGCTCAAGGGAGAAAGGGAGGCAGCAGAGCACAGGACAAAGAGTGTTGAGTCTGCCCAAGCTACTTGTATGACCTTGAGATAGTCCATCATTCATCTCAGTTTCCCCATCTGTAAAATGGGGATAATAATAGCCAACACTTAGAGAGGGCAAACTCTGAGTCACACATACACATACACATTTATTCCTCACAATAACGCTATCAGAGAGCTACTCATGTCCCTGTTTCACAGAGGGGAAACTGAGGAAGTGACTTGCTCAGAGTCACACAGCCAGTAAGTAAAAACATGAGGCTTCAAAACCAGTTGGTCTGGCTCGCAAGTCTGCCGTGTCCACCCGTGCTCTGTGCCACCTCTGCTACTGTCACCACAACAGGCCTCATTCATGGGGCTGTCATGAGGCGTAGCTGGGAAGAGAGGTGAGGAACACAAGGCACAGGGTGGAAGATGGAATTACGGCCCAATCCTCCTCCCCACCCTTACCACCACCAGCCTGAGAAAGAAATAGTAATTTAACACCAAAAAGCAGGGAGGACATTTATTAAACTGGTTTTTTTGTTTTTTTTTTTGAGACAGAGTCTCACTCTTTTGCCCGGGCTACAGTGAGTGCCGTGGCGTCAGCCTAGCTCACAGCAACCTCAAACTCCTGGGCTCAAGCGATCCTTCTGCCTCAGCCTCCCGAGTAGCTGGGACTACAGGTGCACACCACCATGCCTGGCTAATTTTTTCTATTTTTAATAGAGATGGGGTCTCGCTCTTGCTCAGGCTGGTTTCGAACTCCTGAGCTCAAACAATCCGCCCGCCTCGGCCTCCCAGAGTGCTAGGATTACAGGAGTGAGCCACCGCGCCCGGCCTAAACTGTTTTTTAAACCAAATAAATTTAGTCCTATGAAAAAGTGAAAGGAACCCTTTGCAGTTCCTCCCCTGGGAGCAGAGTGTACCCCTCTGCCCCCTAAGTTTGTGTCAGCCACGTGCCTGGCTCTGGCCAGTGGAGATGAGCAGAGGTCCGGTAGGCAGAGGATTGGCGCGTGCTCGTGTGGTTGGGTGAGAACACACCTGGCTCGCCTGCTGGTCCGAGGAGGAGGGAGACACGTTGAGCAGAGGTGGCCCCATCGACACTGGAGCCAAGCCCAGACTGGGCCAGCTGGTCCCCACCAGCCCCCCACAGGCAAGAACGAGTGACCACTGCGTTAAGACCTGAGTTTGGGGTGCTTTGCTATGCAGCAGTATTGTGGCAATCACTGATTGATACAAGACTTAATAAATGTTACCTGCCTGTATCGTCATCATTATTCTCTACTTAAGAACACGCAGTCTTCTGGGACCTCTAAGGACGCCAGAGGCTGGACACCCCATGTTGGGAAACCCCTGGAGTGAATTCAAGCTTCAAGTTTGCTCCGATGGCCTACAAGGACTCTCCTGGCACTGAGCCAAGGAGTCTGTGACCTTGGAGGGTATGGGCATTTTCACCTTCTCGGTCCCTTCTCTAACGTGCCTCCAGCGTGTCGCCAGGGCTGGGGGTGTTTAACAACCTGTCAACACAAGGCAGCTGAGAAGATGCTACTGCTCCTGTTTAGCTCTAATTCAGGTCTCTGGGCCACAGTGTTAAACCAGAATTAATGCATCTAAACTCGATATGACATCAAAGCACGTATCTATATCATTTTTTACCAAAGAAGAAATTATTTGTATCATTTGCAATGGCACTGAATGTTATTGATGGCCTGTAATAAATGTGCAAATAAGTAAATAAAATGAATTGAATTCCCAGCATAATTCTTCCTATTAATGGCACGTAAGTACATCTTGTGCAACTTATGTGTGGCCTTATCTTTCCACAGAGAAAACCAAGACTTGGCCTCACTTACTATTAGTGAGGAGTCCACGCAGAACTTTGGAACCCAGGACAAAGACCACTCCAGAAGAGATACACTTGGTTTAAAATAACTCACTCATTTCAATCCTGAGAGAAAGGGAAAGAATTGGTACCTACCCCTGTTGTACAGATGAGGAAACTGAGGCTCAGAGGTGAGTTCCAGCTGGCACAAAGTCACAGAATAAGTGCTAGAACAGGGGCTTCGACTCAGATCTCATGACTTCTGGTTAAATGCTATTCTTGTAGCGTTACTCAAAATGTTCCCCTCAAGGGGACCAGTCCTC